AAAAAAAAAGTGAGATCATAGCGTCCCTGAGGTTGCCATAGCTACAGCAGTCGGCTGCACGTGTGCCGAGTCAGCGCAGCTGGGTGTCTCTCCATGTGTCCTTTTCAGACACAGTCTCGCAGGTCATAACACACACTCAATTGCAATTAAATCTCAAAGACAGAAGCAGAATTCACATGGAGAGTACAAAAAAAAGGTACAGGGAGAACCGACGGCACATATTTCCGTGACAGACCACATAAAGTTCTTCATTTAGCAACAACCCCAAATGTCCTACATAATCACTCCAGAGATAAAGGTGCAGCTGAGGCTGAATTACGCTCACATCTTCAAGCTAATTACCTCGAACTAAAAGTCAACATAAAAATAGCGTTTGACTGAAACTACTTGATTGCGCATTCGTGAATCTGTCAAATTCACAATGCATCTTTAAATGCGTTTGGACGCAGTCAACAGCTTGTGTGAAATGAAAGTGTCAGACTCACTGGTAGACTGGAGGGTCTGCCCTGCATGTCCTCTGTGCTGCTCTTCGATGCCAGAGGCGGAACGGAGGGGGGAGCGCTGGACTGGGAGCTAAAAGACTCCTGGGAAATCTCCTGTGGGGGGGAAAAGGCAGCCCAGGTCAGTCGAAGTTGGTATTTAGGACAGTGGACACATGTATAGATGCTTTTGCTTACAGATATTGCATGTGTGTTTAGGTCAGTTTCACTGTTAGTAATGCAAGTTTCTGTTTTTGTACTTAAGAAAAACCAGTTACAATACTGCTTTTATTACCGTACGAGAGTCTGTAAATGTGGTGGCACTGTGAAATGAAATGCATTCCAGACTTCAAATAAATGCAAAAGCAGTCATCCAATTTAGATCAAACGCACAAAGTGAATATTAAACATGCTATTAACATCTCACCTTTAAATTTGCATATGTTCAGAAATAAACATAGTAAACGGGATTAAAAACACCATCCAGTTTAGAAAACGTATGCATTTACATGTTATTCGGCAGATACTGTAATAACACTTTACAATAAGATTACATTCGTTAACATTAGTTAATGCATTAGGTTTAAACTAACAATGAACAACCATTTCATTTTTTTTTACCTAGATTAATAAATGCTGTAAGTGAATTCATAAATGTACCATTGTTCACTGTCAATTAACATTCCATGATAGATTGTTATTAGACAATAAGACATTACTGTGGAGTCAGTTAAGATTTTTTTTGTTTTTAATTTAAACAGTCTCTTCTGCTCACCAAGACTGCATTTATCATATCAAAAACAGTTAAATATTTTTTACAATTTAAAATAACTGTTCTATATTGTTTTCTATTGTTCTTTTTTTTAATGCAATTAATTCCTGTGATAAAAAAAGCAGAATTTCCATCAGTAATTTTCATTACTACAGTCTTCAGTGACACATGATCCTTGAAAAATGTATCTAATATGTTAATGCTGATTAACATTACCCAGTGATAATAATGTAAAAGTGTTGATCATTGTTAATTACTGACACTTAATGCATTAACTAAATTTCTTTGCAAAGCATTACCTATACTTTAGAACTGCTGCTCGAGGGCACCGTGGTGACAGTCGATCTCAGTAACTCTTGCTTTCATTATCTCATTTTCATCCACCCTGAACCACAACTTAAATACGAAAGCAAAAAGCTTAAGTTACCTGAGGAGGAGGAGGAAAACGCTGATACGGCGATTGTTGTTGTTGCTGCTGCTGCTGCTGTTGTGGGGGATTCTGGGAGTACGATGAGGGCTGTCCCTGTGGCATCTGTCCATGTCCCGCGGGCGGCTGAGAAGCAGGTGTGGGCGTCTGCGATGGCTGCTGTGATGTTGGCGGTGGCGGCTGCTGCGGTTGTTGTTGGGGGCCTTGGGCAGGAGGGTAACTGGGTTGGGATGCAGGAGGAGCCTGGGAGCTCCCCTGC